GTAAAACCTTCCCACATCTCTGCCCCTCTTTGTGTTTCTGGGGTTGGGGGAAGGGCAAAGAAAAGAAAAACCTACTCTGATGACTAGCCCCCGTGACTTAACTAGTACAGCTGCCTTAGAGACCCTGGGAAATGGATGCTCAGAGCAAGACTTCCACGTACGTGTGTGGGCCGCTCTAAGAACGGAACCATAAAGAAGAGGATGTTGGGGATAAGGTTGAGATGATGGAGAACTTAAGGTTGCCTGCAATGACTATATGACTTCGGCGGATCCCCAGTCAGTGCTGGTACCTGGGTGACGCTTCAGACATGTGCCCTGTGTTGGTCACGCGGACAATTCCCACAGAACAGGACTGTATCAGTTATGTTAGCTTACAGGGGACTCTGCTAGGCTCCTCCCAGGTACCTAGCAACGGCTTACGTCACCACCTGCTACCTCCAGGTGCTTCAGCTGTGGGCTGCCCCATCACTCCAGCTCTCTCGCGTGTGCATTCCCGGCCAGTCCCTCTCCCCGCTTGCTTTGTCTTTCTCTGTGCCCATCCTCTTGTCTTCCCTCATAGCTCTACTCCTATCTGTCTGCCTTTCCACATATCTTCTCGTCTGCCTCTACCCCTTCTCCAGGTCCTCACTCCCCTCCCTTCACCCAGATAGACCCCCTTATACCAGACCTGTTGCATGGCACAATTACTCAGGGGCACACCTTGGCAAGAGCCCACCAGGTAGCTCCTTGCCGCATTATATTTCTTTCTTTTTTGTTTGTTTGTTTGTTTGTGTTTTTCGAGACCGGGTTTCTCTGTATAGCCCTGGCTGTCTTGGAACTCACTCTGTAGACCAGGCTAGCCTCGAACTCAGAGATCCGCCTGCTTCTGCCTCCCAAATGCTGGGATTAAAGGCGTGCGCCACCACTGCCCGGCTCTATATTTCATAACACTAACTAAATACCTGAGAAAAAAGGGAGGATCTGTTCCGGCTTACAGCTTGAGAGGAATCAGTCCATCGAGGTGGGGACCGTGCAGCGGCTGGAACAGGAAGCAGTTGGTCACATTGCCTCTGCAGTCAGAGAACAGAAAAAAAGATGGATGCTGGTGCTCAGCTCACTTCCCCACCCCCACTCTTATTCCATTTAAGTTCCAGCCCCACTGGATGATGCCACCTACATTTCGGATGAGTCTTTTCCTCCTCAGTTCTACGTCTCTGAAACACTCCCACAGGTACACCCAGAGCTGTGCGCACTCAAACTCCTAGGTGAGTCTAAGTCCTCTCAGGTTGAAACTGAATGAAGATCAGTCCTCAGAGAGACCTGGGGTAAGGCAGCTTCTTGACCCGGAGCTAGGGAGGGAAGATCCTCACTCTGCAGCCAATACTCTCGGGGCAAGCAGGGAAGGCGCTGCCTTCCACGGGAGGAGATTAGATGACTCCACCAAACACACAACTGGGGTCAGAGGATACCTCTACCCTGACTCTGAATCCAAGTTCAAAGCGCTTATCACCACCGCATGCTTTCATTACTCAAAGAACGGCACACAGAGGCTTGTGGACGCTCATCTCTCCTCAGAGGCGGAGCCGAGCACATACTCATACAATGATTCAGACAGCTAACAGTGTGGAACAGTGCTGGGCTCAGCAGACCATGGCATTAAAAGATCTGGAAAAGATCTGACCCAACCAACCAAGACCAGCTAACAACTCCAAACACTCTTGATGTTAACAGTGAGTCACAAAGTTTCCCTCACTCTATAGAATTCTGTGTTTTCACTTCCAGCTTTCCAGGGTGAGATGCTGACAAAACTGAAAATAAAGAATAACACTTGCATGTCATGGATAATCTTTCCCTAGGAACAAACTTCTCAGCTTTGGTCAAAGTCCCAAGGAAAATCATCTTAGAAGTCAGTGCAATACTAACTTATCCTTTAAGGCTCTCTTCTTAAAACTATTATTTGTGCTATATAATTATCACAAGGCTTTGAGCTTCATTCGAGTTACTTAACCTCAAACTTCCTTTTAGGGTTTATAGAAAATCATTTGGTATCAAATCCAATAGTAAGAACTTATCTGAGAATTAGAAAATACATTCACCACCTTCTGCTTCCAATCTGGTCTGAACAGGCTTTTTATTTGTAAACAAGCTTTTATCCTCAACTTAAAAAAAAACACAGCATGAAGGGGCTGGAGAGATGTCTCAGCAGCTAAGAATACTGACTGCTCTCCCAGAGGTTCTGAGGTCAATTCCCCACAACCACATGGTGGCTTACAACCATCTGTAATGGGATCTGAAGTCCTCTTCTGGTGTGTCTGAAGACAGCTACAGTGTACTCATATAAATAAAATAAATAATATATATAAATTTATATGTAATTTTTATACATACACACACACACACACACGTAATGAAACCCTTTGAATGTTCATTGTTCCCAGAGGTTTTGATTGTGTGTGTGTCCTGGAAATTCCCTCTTTCCCCCAGCAGCCAAATCCCTTCCCCCAAGAAGTCACTCACCTCCTGATTAGCCTTGAGTGCTTCATGACTAATCTGTAATCCAGTTAGCTTTTGTCTGTAACAGCATGGTAGCAATTTAAACTCTGGAGAGTTTAAACTGTCTGGGGGATTTGTTAAAATAGAGACTTGGAAGGATTGGGACATTTGGAGGCAGAGCTAGATAAACAGGTAACGAAATGCTTCTATCTGGAATCCTGTGGATAGCTGATTCCAGAATTACACAAACCAATTACATCTACGACAACCAGTAAGGTTTTATAGTGATAGAACACCAGCATAAAAGTGATATTTGGGACTTGTGAGATGGCTCAGGAGGTAAAATCACCTGCCACACTGCATGCCTGATAACTTGAGTTTGATCCCCAGAATCCACAAAATACTGGATGAGAGGCACACATCCAAGACCACTCCTTCATGGTGACAGGCAGCAGAGACAGGAGAACTGCCAGAAGGCTTGCTGGCTTCCAGCAACTACCAGCTAATGTTCAGTACGCACAACAACAGAAACAACAAGAGGCAATTCACCAACAAGACGGAAGGAGAGCTAGCTCCCCAAACTGGTCCTGTGACCTTCATGTGTATACTCACATGCACATACACACGCACACTTACACACTTGCATATACACACTAACTGTTTATAGTAACATTTGGAGTCTTCCAGTGCTGTGTACACATTGGCAGTCTACACAAGTGGAAACAGACTGGATTTTGCAGCAGGGACCCATGTGTACGAGGTTTATATAAAGGTGACAACATGAGTGTGAAGAACAAACAGTACCTCAGCTTGGAAGTTTTCTATGATTAGCGACGGCTGGAATGTGAACTCAAGAATTCAGTGATGGAATTGCAAGTTATCTCAGAGATGTAAACCAGGCATGGTAGTACACGTCTGTAGTCTCTAAACTGGGCGTGCGGAGGCAGGAGGATTGCCACAAGTTTGACACCAGCCTGTTCTCCAGCAAGGCCAGCCAGGGCTGCATAGTGAGATCCTGTTTTGAAATACAATAAATAAATAAATAAATAAATAACCTCAAATAAACAAAATAGAAAAAAATAAAACCTTTCAACTTCTACTCCTGTTTCTTTTTTTTTCCAGGATGGTTTTCCTGTTCTTGCCATGAAAATACCCATGATTCAATTCAGGCATGAGGATTGGACCACATTCCACAGCTGTCTACCCGTTCGCCTTCCAATCCTCTATCTACACAACTACCTGCCATAAAGTCCATGTTCCCGTGTTTACCTGTCCATCCCTCCCTCTTCATGCCCACCCAGACCACCGAATGGGTTGTTTGCCTTTAGAGACAGGGCCCAAGGCTGGTCTCTGATTTGCTGTGAAGCTGAGAATGATTTTGAACTTCTGATCCTCTGGCCCCATCTGCTAAGTGCTGCGGTTACAGGCATGTGCCACCATGTCTGGTTTTATGCGTGGTTATAGGCATGCACCACCATGCCAGGGTCTGCACCATGCTAAGGATTAAAGCCAGGGCTTAGAGCATGCTATGAGACACCCCACCAACTGAGCTACATCCCAGCCGCCCCCCACCCCGTAACCGGTGGCTTACCCTCCGCCCTCCTGCCAGTTCCATTACAATTCTATCAGTTCTGAACAGCTCAGTTAGAACTACTTCCACATTACCTATGATTAGGTATGAAACATTCCAACATCCCCACATCAGTCAGAATTCTTTTGATCGTAAGCAACAGAACCAGATCTGGCAGGTTGAAGCAGAAAAAAAAAAAAAAAGAATGGACTTTCAAAAACAAAAATTCCACTAGATTTTCTTAAAATTCTTAAAGAATGTCTGACACAACACACTGTGTGTCTGCTCTCTCTCTCTCTCTCTCTCTCTCTCTCTGTGTGTGTGTGTGTGTGTGTGTGTATGTCTGTGTGCATGTGTGTATATGAGCATGTATGTACGTGTTTATGAGTGTGTTCATGAGTGTGCCTGTACGTGCCGCCTCTTACAGGAAGGCAGAAGCACAGTCTGAAGGGACCACCTGTAGTTGTCATTGCTAAGGGAAGACAGTTTTCTAAGGTTGTCAGAGGAGAAATGAACACTTTGAGAGATGCCCTCGAGCCCCAGTCCACAGAAGAAAGGAATTCTTCCGTCTCCAGGACCCCAGAGTTCAAAACAGCGACAGTAGAGAGTGGGGAGCTAGTGCATGGCTGTCTGGATGTGTCAGAGTGGGAAGAGAAAGGCTGGGGCCGGAAGTGATGAAAGCAGTCATTGCGTGAGCTCACCCATAACCCCAGCACTTGGGAGACTGTTGCAAGGGCCCACGAATTTGAGATTAGCCTCCCGTACATAGCAGCAAGATCCTGTGTTTAACTGACAAAATCCTTTTCATTTTTTTCTATGATCAAGTAAATAGTGTTTAATAACAAACAATACCCTTTATAGAATACTCAATGGTGTCATTTGAAAAAATAAGCTAACTGCTATACTATAGGAACATGTTTTATTGGAGGGGAAGAGTGCTATCGGTAACTTTGCATCTTTAGTACGGTAACAAATCTTCCGCTTCCAGATTCAAGAAAGGCGACATCATCTCCCGAAGATCCCACATGGTGCGGTGCCCCAGCAGGCTGGGCAGCACCCTTTCGAAGAGAAACGTGGCGTCCACAAACAGTATATAGCACGACAGTCCGGTGATGGTGACCACGTAGACCATGACGAACAGCTTCAGTGCGTGCTTCCTATAGTAAAGAAGACCCAGAACAGAGCCTCTTTGAAGGTGTGGACCCTCCATGCCCGCAGCTCCACCCTCCACAGTCACCCACCTATGACCGCAGTCAGTTCTGTAAAAGGTGGAAACAGCGCATGCGCATTCCCACAAGCTCGTTTGGTCCCTTTCGCTCTACGTTTTTGTTCCCTTTCTAGATATACCCGCATTTGTTTGTTAGCTACTACAGAATCACTGATGATGATTAACTCTTTAAAGATGTATTAATTTTCTCTCAAGCGAATGAAATTATATCTGTAGTATTTAAAGGGTGCACAGTCACCAAGCACACGAAGACATGTGCAGTGGCATATAAAATTCACTTTATATTATGCACTGCCCACAAGAGTGGGTATAAAGTAACTTCTAATGAACAATTCCATTGCGGAGCTCTTTATGAGGTTGCTGACCATACATACATACATACATACATACATAGATATAGATATAGATATCATACATTCTCTGACAAGATGTCTAAGTCCTTTGCCTATTTTATTTTAAAGTCTGGGTTGTATTTTGTTTTCTGGGTACTATAAAAGTTCTTTATGTGTTAAAGATACTAATCCTTAATTTTAAGAATTCTGAAAAAGATATATGTATGTATGTATATATACATATATACATATATACATACCTCTGTGTGTGTGTGTGTGTGTGTGTGTGTGTGTGTGTGTGTGTGTGAGACAGTACTGGCTCAGGATAACCAAGACCAAATTCTCAGCATAAAGGAGGTTTATTTGCCCCAGAGGGTCAGAGAGCAGAGAAGAGACAAAGACAGAAGAGAGAGGAGAAGGGAGGGGAAGGGAACAAGGGAGGGGGAGAGTATTTGTCCTAGGGGACAAAGGACTGCCTCTAAATAGAGAGAAGACAGAGGTGGCCCATAGAAAAAGGAAAGTTTATAAAGGTACAAGGGGAAACTCCACGTTAGGGTGAGGTGTTTAATTTTAAATCAGGCATGTTATTTAGGTGAGCCGAAGGGGACTTTTGACTGCTGGACTTCAATACTTTGATAGCTGGACCTTGGTAGTCAGCCTCAGGAGAAGGAAGTAGCCAAATAAGGGAACAGACCTTGGTGGCTAGCTTTAGGAATGTAACCTAACAGTTTAGTAAGGCAGAGGGAATGGGGGAGAAGGGCAAGGCCTGCCAGAGCTGTATTTTCCATACTTGGGCTAGCTACGTGTGTGTGTGTGTGTGTGTGTGTGTGTGTGTGTGTGTGTGTGTATGAGTGGGGGTGGGGAGGTCAGAAAACTTTTGGAGCTAGGTCTCTCCTTCTCTTGTCTTGAGGCAGGGTCTCCCTTGTTTCTGTGTTGTGTGACAAAAACATTTCCTGAGGAGAGGTAACACACAGTCTACACCCCCTAGAGAGGGAACCCACAACAGACCAAAGTACAGATACCACCAAAGTCCAACTTGGTGAACCATAACTTTTACTGGGGTTACTCGCAGGAATGTGGGTGAGGGGTCACTTACAGGATCAGAAGTGACTCAAAGACAGCTGCATCACCAAAGACTACCCCAGCACAGGTGACAGCTCACAAAGCTGGGGACCTGGAGCATACCACAGCCTGCAGGCAGCTCAACAGGCTGGAGAGTGTCCTTCCCAGGTACCTCAGCTGGACTAAACCTCTTCCAGGCAGCTCAGCTAGTTTCTGCTTCTTCCAGACAGCTGATCTCATCTCAGAGTCTCCCTTGAAGCCCAACTTCCTTCCATTGGAGGGGACTCTCAGTCTTTATTGGATACTCTGGCTAGGTGGGGTCTAGTGAGTCTGATCAGTTTCAGGGACTTCCTGAAGCTATTTTGAGTTGATTACCTTCCTGTTCAAGGAGCTTCCTGCAGGGTGGAAACTGTTACACACATTCTGCAAAGCTGATTACTACAGGCCAGGTGATCATAAGTTTCAGGGGCATCTCCTGTCCTCACCTACCAACCTTGCTGTGGGATTGCCCAAACTGCAGAAATATGCCACTGAAACTGGTTTGTTATGTGAGTTCGACCTGAGGATCGAATTCAGGTCATCATGATTCAGTAGAAAGCACTTTTGGGGTCAGGGCATGGTGGTGCACACCTTTAATCTCAGCATTTGGGAGGCAAAAGCAGGCGAATCTCTGTGAGTTTGAGGCCAGCCTGGTCTACAAAGCAAGTTCAGGACACTCATGGGTACAAAAAAGAACTGTCTCAAAAGAGAGAGGGGGGGGGGGGAGAGAGAGAGGGAGGGACCAGGGAGAGAGGGACAGAGGGAGAGGAACAGAGAGAGAAGAGAAGAAAAAGGGGGATGAGGATGAGAGAAGGAGAAGGGGAAAGGGAAGGGGAAGGAGGAGGAGGAGGAGGAGGAGGAGGAGGAGGAGGAGGAGGAGAAGAAGAAGAAGAAGAAGAAGAAGAAGAAGAAGAAGAAGAAGAAGAAGAAGAAAGCTAGCACTTTTCCCAATCAGCCATCTCCCTCCTCTCTGGTCTGATTCCTGACAATTTTCTACCTACTGACTCTATGGAGATGACTATACTATTTTAACTGACCTGACTCTTTTTTTTTGAGCCTGGTGTATGCCCCAAAATGATAGAGACAAGATCCCAGTTTCATAGCTTCATACATTGTTCAGAAGAAACAACAGAATTGAAACAATTGAACTACAATGTGACGTTGGCTCCATGGCGGAGATAATGTGCAGGCTACAGGGGCACATTGTGTAACAGCTCCGCAACAAGAAGACAGATCCAAACAACAGTACTCCAGAGAAGAGGCTGCTCAAGATTCTCTCTGGATTGGTGGCTGGAAATGAAGTGGCAGAGATTTTTCTTGGAGAAAGGACTGCTTCTATAAAGGTCAGCTCTATAAAGGGATCCAAGGACTCAGAAACCGAGCCTAGGACGGTGTGACACACTTCTACAATACAGCACAGAGCCCCAGGCTGATGCAGCTAACCTGAGCTATGTGCCTGCCTCAGATGAGAAGAGTCAAATGTTTCCATCAATGCCTCTCCAATACTTAATGAGGAAGAGGTTCCCAGACACATACCCAGAGAGCTCTGTTGTTTTCTAACAAAATCTCAATCCTTTTATTTTACCAATGAAGATTCAGGAGCCAGAGACTGGGGTGAAAGCCTGTTGGCTCAGAGAGACAGAGAAAGTACCCAGCTGACCTTTCTCCTCAGCTGACATCCCATCAGGATCCCCCTTCAGTTTGTTCCTCCATAAAACCTCCTTCAAACTCAATGTCCCTTCTTCTACTTCCTATGTGTCTCTCTATCCATCCTCCTGACTTGCTCTCACTCTCTATGTTTTTTTTTCTTAATAATCCTATGTTCACTTCCTGCCAACTGGTTGCCTGCTCTGCCTCTTGACCTATGGTTGACTTTATTTAATCCTGATCACAACATTCAGGCAGAAAACTCTTGGATTAAAGATGTATGCTAAGACTGAGCCACATCACAACTAAAAACAGCTTTTTTTTTTCCAGTAAATGACACAATCTCGGGGCTCACAGTGTGATCAGATATCCTGTAATAGAACTCCATATCCCACCACAGGGATACTGGTATATCCATTTTTTTATTACTACTCTATCTACAGTGGCAAGGAATAGAACCAAACTGACCTAGATGTCCATCAACAGATAAATGGGTAATGAAAATGTGGCTCATAGACACTATGGAAGTTAAATGAAAAAGAAAAATGAAATTTGCAGGAAAAGTAGATGAACTGAAAATACATAGGGTTAAGCAGGGTCATGCAGTTTCAAAAAGAAAGAAAAAATGTTCTGTCATATACAGATCCCTGCCTGTAATGTATACATGCTTATATGTAGTCATCTATAAGCGTGGGTACTGTATAGCATTTAGAAAGGGTAATATTGGGAGATAAGGAAGGACTGGACGCAGTCAAGGACGTGAGTGATGAAAGAGAGCATAAAGTTAATTGTTTTTCTAGTTTCAATTCTGTCATGGTTGTTTTCTTCCTTGTGGTTAGTAAGTGAATAGAAATATAATCGATAGTGAGGTGTAAACCCTAAGCCACACAGCCTCTGAACGCCGCATAGCCTCAGAGTACCTGACTGCACGGGAGCTCACCGAAATGCAAGGGTTTGGGAATGTGTGTGTCCGAATGGCTACCTTCATCTGGCTGTGTCAAAGTTTTAGTTGTGAGTTCTTAACAGTAAAGTGATTTCATTTTATTATTTGTTTGTTTGCTTGCTTGTTTCCTTGTTTATATATTTGGGTTTTTTTTTTTTGAGACAGAGGTTCTCTATGTAGCCCTGGCTGTCCTAGAACTCACTCTGTAGACCAGACTGGCCTCAAACTTATTTACAGAGATCCTCTCGAGTGCTGGAATTCAAGGCTTGTGCTACCATCGCATGGGGCAGGTTTCATTCTTTTAAAGAAGGAGGATGAGGGGGAGTGATCTTGTCTAGTAAACACAAGTTGTCAAATCTGTGTGATAAGTTGTTCCCTTTGATGGGGGTGATGACCAAAGCCTTTAGATTCTGATCAATAACGTGCAGATGGAGAGAAGGCTCAGCGAACTAGGTTTAGTTCCCAGCATCCGTGTTGTCCTAGTTAGGGTTTTATTGCTGTGACGAGACACCGTGATCACAGCAACTCTTCTAAAGAAAGACATTTTGCTGGGGCGGGCCTATAATTTCACAGGTTTAACCCATTAGTCATCATGGTATGAAACACGGCAGCGTGCATGCAGACATGGTGCTGGAGAATGAGCTGAGAGTTTGACATTGTGATCCACAGGCAGCAGAGAGACTGCCACACTGGGGTAGCTTGAGCATAGAAGACCTCAAAGCTGGCTTCCACAGTCACACACTTCCTCCAACAAGGCCACACCCACTCTAACAAGGCCACACCCACTCCAACAAGGCCACACCTCCTAGTAGTGCCACTCCCTATGTGCTAAGCATTCAAACACATGAGTCTGTGAGGGCCATACCTACGCAAACCACCACACATGTGATGGCTGGCAACCACCTGTAACTCCAATGGTAGGGGATCCAACACCCATTCTAACCTCCCTAGGTATCAGACATGCATACAGTATAAATACATCAATGCAATCAAACACCCCTACACATAAAATAAATGTAAAACATTTTTAAATTTTAAGAAAGGGTGTAGACGGATAAGAACTGGAGTCTCTGCTCAGTGATAGAACACTTGCCGGCCATGTGTGAGATCCTGAGTTCGGTCCTTTACATTGCACACATCTTAAAGTGGTTTAGAAAGATATTGTACATAGGTAAAATATATGTCACACGCCCATGTGACATATAGGAAGATTTATCTAAGGTAATAAGAAAGCTACCTATGCTTATATACTTCTTAATACAATATGTAAAACAAGAAAAAAATCCTACGACTTCAATCAACAGACAACATTCACAAAAGAAAATAACATTTTAGTCAACAGTCAGTCTTAAAATAGATCCTATGTTGAGAAGCTACACACATACACACATACACACACACACACACACACACACACACCATCTCACTATGTAGACCAGTCTGGCCTTGAACTCAGATCTACCTGCCTCTGCCCCTGGAGTACAGCCATTAAAGGTGTGTGCTACTTCTCCTGAGCGCATCTGATAAGTTTGTCAAGCCCATGCAAGCCCCATTTTCTAACTCACCACACTGCGCTGCAGGGAGGAGAGGGTAACGCTGACAGGCTTGGAGGAGCTTCGGGGAGCAGGGGCTCTTCTTGCTCCTCCGCGTCCACGTCTTCAGAGCCATGGGAGTCTGCGTCCGACCCCTGTGTGTAGTACATCTCCAGCTTAGAGTTCAAGACATTCATTTCCTTATGGAAGCTCTAGGGAGGAAATTCAAAGAGCAATCAACTACCTTTCCTTAATTAAAAAACAAAACAATTCTTGATGTCTCTCATTCTCACTGTGGGTGACAGAGGATGTTTTCCCTCGGTGACACCTCAGGTGGCCATCAGCAGGTGCATATCTAGTGACTTACACACAGCTGGGGAAAAGAGGGAGCCCACATGCTGACCTTTCCTTACTGGAATGGTACCCTTCTCCTAGATCTGTCTATTCGGTTTGATTATCTACTCCACGCATACGTATGTGGTGATGCCCACCAGCACTGTTCTCAGATACAGTGGTGCACATATATAGTGGTGTGCAGTTACAGGTATATGTGCACGGCTAAGCGTCCACGAACATTAGAGTGACAGCCACGTTAATGAGTGCGGATGAGGACCATGTCCCCAGTGAAATTGGTGAGCTAGCAGCTCTGTTTAGTGGGGTAGGTGGTGAGCCAGCACCACTGGTTGGGGGGGGGGTTGGTTCATTGTTTCTGCCACACACCCACATTTTTCCTCCTCTGGGGGAACAAACTCAAAGGCGAACTCATTTCTCTAGAGAAGAGACAAGAGAGGTCTGAGTCTGGATAAGAGAGACGGGAGAGAGGTCAGACGAAGAGCTGCCGCCTGCATTGAGCCTTGCAGAGTGCAGAGCGTGTAACACGGATCAGGTTTCAGATGAGTTATGGATCAGACACTCCGGAAACCGTCAGGTGTTCTTTTGGTCCAAAGCAGAAGCCCAAGAGGAGGAAAAGCAGACATCCAACTAACCAGAGAACACAATGAGGTGTAGTTTCGCTTCTTGGGAAACCAGCTAAACTGTTTGGATAGGTGAACTTGGAACACCTCACCTCTATCCGGTCAATGAGCTTCTCCTTCAATTCACAGGCTTCTTTGCAAGTGTCGACCTAAAAAGATATCCACAGGTCTGAGTAAACTGACAAGGTTGTCGTTCTGGATGACAATAAGATCTCTCACTTTTGTACCATGTACAAAGTGGCTGTGCTGAGTGGGACAAACGTGTACTGGTGAAATAGCTCCTTCGACAGTTGATTTCTGGGTCTGTGGATGCCGCCGAGTGGTGGAGTGCTTACCCAGCATGCACAGGGCCCTATGCTCCACGAACAGTGGTGAGCCAACAGGAGGCAAACTGCTTATGAACCTCGTATTGCAAGAAAAATAACCGGCAGCAATGAGGGATACTTTCAGTCCTTTACATGCTGTTTCCCACAGCATAGTGGTGCTTGCCTTTAATCCCAGCGCACAAGAGGCAGAGGCAGGCAAATCTCTTCGAGTTCAAGGCCAGCTCAAGGACTACATAGTGAAACCCCATTTCAAAAGTAAACAAACATAAATAAATAAATAAATAAATAAATAAATAAATAAATTTACAGGAATGAGAACTGCCTGAGAGGCAGAGACAGGAGAGTAGCAGAGCAAACTGGTTAGCTAGACAAGCCAGAACTAGAGCACATTGTATGTATCAGTGAGAGACGCCATAATTAGAGCACATTGTATCCAAGGGAGACCACAGAATTAGAGCACATTGTATCTGTGAGAGACCTTGCCTCAATAAATAAATAAATAAATAAATAAAGTGGAGCGTGACTGAGAGAAAAATGCCTGGTATCAACCTCAGGCCTCATGCACAGCACACACATACACATATAAATAAGGTAAAAGTATAAGTATATACAGCAGCCCCTTGCTGTAAGCCATTCTTTTCTGTTTGTTACTCCTTTTATGTCCCTTAAAAATCTTCTAGTGCTGAAGAGATGGCTTAACAGTTAAGGGCACTGGCAGTTCTCGCAGAGGACCACGAGTTCAGTTCTCAGTAACCCCATAGTGGTGGCTCACAACCTCTGTAACTCCAGTTCCAGGGAATCCATCGCCCTCTTCTGGCTTTCATGGGTACTACATTTGTGTGGTACATGGACATACATGCTGGTAAAAACATCCACATAAATATTATTAAAAACAAAAATCTTCCACTAAGAGAGAAGCTGGTGAAAAAAGTAAGTTTCTGTGAAAATAGGGAAGTATCTCTCTTAAACAGGTAAACATTTCTAAGGTATAAGTGTAAGATCTCATCATATCAGATTGAATATATGGGCTCTGGCTCAGCGGAGTGGCTCACTGAGAGAGGAACTCTTCCATTTGCTTCCCGTGTCTCCATCAGGTATTCTGAGAGAGAATTCCTCATCTTGTCTTGATTCTTAAGCACTAACAGGAGCAGGCAGAGGCTTTTCACTCTTTCTTCTTTTTCTTAATTTTTAAAATTTTTTATTTTTTAAAGATTTATTCACTTATTATGTATACAGCATTCTGCCTGCATATATGTCTGCAGGCCAGAAGAGGGCACCAGATCTCATTATAGATGGTTATGAACCACCATGTGGTTGCTGGGAATTGAACTCAGGACCTCTGGAAGAGCAGACAGTGCTCTTAACCTCTGAGTCATTTCTACAGCCTTTTTTTTTTTTAAAGATTTATTCATTTATTATATATATGAATACACACACGCACACGCACACGCACACACACACACACACACACACATATATATATATTTATCATTCCTTAATTTTTTTTAAAAGATGGGGTCTCGGATATTCCAGGCTGACCCTGAGTCTGCTGGGCAGCCAAGGATGAACTTGAATTCATATCCTCCCAGCCTTTACCTCCAAAGCACTGTGTGTCTCACCAGACCTGTTATGAGCAGTTGGTCTACCCAGGCCCTATTATTTGCCTGTCGCTGGTCCACACTCCTAGTCCCAAGACTGAGTTTTTGAGGCTTACTTTCTCATGGTAAACACTCATGTGCCAAATCCCAACTGCCCAAATAAACACAGCTGATAAATTCAGATGTCAATCTCGAGCTGTGAGGTGGTGACAAGAGGATGATGACATCTCACTGGTACAGAAAATTCCCAAGAAAACTGACCTGTTAAGAGCGGGTTTAACAGCTAGCCTGGGAACACACATGGAGGGACCCATGTCTCCAGCTGTATTTGTAGAGGAGGATGGACTTGTCAGGCATCAGTGGGAGAGGAGGGCCTTGGTCCCTTGAAGGCTGGATGCCCCAATGAGGGGGAATTCGAGGGCAGGGAGGTAGGAGTGGGTGGATGGGGGGGCACACCTCATAGAAATAGGAGGAGGGAGGATGGGTTAAGGGGTTTCTGGGGGGGGGGAATGGGGAAAGGGGATAACATCAGAAATGTAGATAAATAAAGTACCCAATTTAAAAAAAAAAAAACCAAACAGATAAAGGAACTGGGTATGGCAGTCAAACATTTGAGACTTTTTAGCAGCAATTTAACATTACCCATATTACAGGGTAATGTCAAGGACATTAAAATTGTCAAGGATAAGAGACTATGTAACAAGCCCATGAAATTTTAAAACAATATCTTCATAAAATAAAAAAGAGGGAGATATATCCCTGTATACCACAAATTTATTTAAATCATGTTCTTTTTATTTTTTATTTTAATTTTTTTTAAATGGATGCCAAGGAACTTTCTGCTAATGTCTATGGCACTCTACAACTAGGCATACTTATGCATAGGTGAAAGGGAGGATCTACTTACTGGCATAAGGCATGATCTTGATCAGGTATTTAATATGGGGAAGAGGGCATGTTTGTGTTTCTTCTGCAGGATGCTGAAGGAGCATGGTGGCTGCCAGAGCAATGGGTGAGACATCCTGATGCCAGGACAAAGAATGATGCTGACCTGTGAGCTTGCTGAGTGCCCTGACAATGGTGACAATGGTGACTGGGAAGCTGTATTGGACATATGTTCCCGACCCACCATTACTTACCTATACCCCTGATGGGACAAGCTGCCTTGCCTCAAGATTTTAGACCTTGTGGAGAGAGAATTGAAAAGAGGAGCTATAATGCCTCTTGAATTGTTATTAAATGTGGCCAGTTATTCAGATTCAATCATGGACTGGTCTGGAAATCAATCCAATATTGTAAATAACAATCTTCATTTGGAAGTCTGGTTCTAGACATTTTCAGAGACATTATGGAAATTAGCTGCAGTTCCCTATGATGTTATGTTAGCAAGAGATAAAGTTGGGGCAGGATCTGGATTTCAAACAGGTGTTAGCACATGTGTTAAGGCTCTTTTAATTGTCAAGTTAAAAATACTTTTGTTTCTTCTATAGTATTTAATGTAAGTTGCATTGATTGTATACCTTCAATATACAATATATATACAATATATATTCAATATATATAGATATAGATAGATAGATTGTATACCTGTGTTTGTGTTTTGAAATCCAGCATGTCAGTTATGGAGGTCAATCAACCAGCTTTTGTTTTAGTGCCCTGAGTATCACAGAACCTTGGTATTCTAAAAATAGCTTGCAAGTACTGGAAGAAATGAGTCAGGCTTTAAAAAGAAGCAAGAGGGTAGTGGGCTTGATTATTGCTGATATAACAGCTTTAATTACATTAATTTCTAGCACCACTGCTTCTGCAATTGCTGTGACACAAAAAGTTAAGACAGGTACTTTTGTTAATCATTTAGCAAAAAAATGTTACTAATGTGTTGAGTATACAAGAGGATTTAGATAGGCATTTGGAAGAATGGATTGGTGCTCTTTATCATATTCAAATTATCGGAAGGAGGTTCAGAAGTTAAGGGTAAGTAGCCATCTCAAATGTCATGCCAAATACCATTGGATTCATGTTAGTTCTAAAATTTACAGTGGTAGTCATTATAATTAGGAAGAAATTTAAAGACACTTTCAGTGTATTTGGCATAATCCTAACACCTCTCTTGATGTTTTAATTTTACATAGTGAGCTTATGAATTTCAAGAATGCTGCTCTACTGAGCACTGATACAGTAGATACTGCAGATACAATTACCCAAGGCCTGAGGTCAGTATTTCTATTTTGGTCAAGCTTTAAGAATGGCATATATAGCTTGATCATGCTAGCCTTTTTTGTCCTGGGAATACTTTTTTTCCTGCCCATTGTGTTAAAGCTTTTCTTTAACAATATCAACATGTTGGCAGCCAAAAAACATGGCTTGAACCTGAAAATGGACCCCCCCAGACAGAGTTTTTAAATTAACAGGCTGGCAAGCCAAGGATGGGTAACATTCTGCAAAGAGCCTTACCAATCTAAGACAGAATTGCATTGCTTTGGATAATACATATTCCATGACAGGTAAGGAAGGCATTATTGTCAGAATGACCTAAGACAGGCTCAGTCTGGTTAATGAAAAAAAAAAAGGGTGGGGGAGAGACAGAGAGCCTTTGGGGGCTGCTTGGCAAGAATCTGACATGGGACAAGGACAAGGAAATGGGATGCTTAGCAGGAATCTGACATTGCCCAAGGACAAGGAAGTAGGCTTCAGGCAGGAATCGGACATTAGGGTAGAACAAAGAAGTAATTTCAGGTAGGAATCTAAATCTTAGGCTAGAACAAAGAAGTAGACTTCAGACATGAAAATGACTTTGGGTTAGGACATGGAACTAGGCTCAGATACTTTGGTCATCCTGATAAGCCCTTAAAAACAGTGATCATGGGAGTGTTTACGTAATTGTGTTTAATGCCTTGCTTGTTCTTTGACTATTTGTGTTTATTGTCTTGCTTGTTCCTTGACTAATTGCATCTATTGTATTGCTAGACCCTCAACCTAGAAATGACCTTAATACATGCATGTAATTAAAATGGTATAAAAGCAAAAGGGAGGGGGGATGGGATAAGGGTTTCTAGGGAGAGGAAGTGGGGAAAGGGGATGGCATCTGAAATATAAATAAATAAAATATCCAATAAAAATATTTTTTTCAAAAAGTGGGTTTAAGACAAGGTGAGTCTGATGACATCACTCAGTATGTTAAAATGTGCAAATAGAATTTATAACTGTGGTTCTCACCCTGTGGGTCTTGACCCCTTTGGGGATTGGCCTGTCATGACCCTGTTGGTGATTAAATGAACCTTTCACAGGGGTCACATATCAGATATCCTGAATAGCAGATATTTACATTACAACTCACAACAGTAGCAAAATTACAGTTATGAGGTAGCAATGAAATAATTTTATGGTTGGGGGTCACCACAACATGAGTACTGTATGAGAGGGTCACAGAATTAGGAAGGCTGAGAACCGCTCATTTAGACAAAGACAAATACATAAAAATGTTCATTGTGCTTGTCTTTGAGGTTCCAGGTTCTTCTCTTTTTTGAGTGTGTGTTGTTTTTGTTTGCTTGTTTGTTTGTTTGAGACAGGGTCTCTTTACATAGCCCTAGCTGTCCTGGAACTCACCATATAGATTAGGCTAGCCTAGGACTCACAAAGATTCCCTGCCTCTGACTCCTGAGTGCTGGGATTAAAGGCGTGTGTGACCACACCAGGCTATTTTTCATTTGTATGTGACTTACTTTCATATTGTTTTAATTTTAAAATATGTGTTACTTTTGTTGGAAGGAGAAACACACACATGTATTATGTGATTGATATGTTGTGTGATGTTAATACAAATAGGGAAAGAAGAGCAAACGTGGATTTTTACTTATCTTTTTCACTTTTTATCACTGATTATTGATTATTACTGATTATTTTTAACTCTGATTATTTGAAGCAGGCAGCACTCATGTTGTGAAATGTGCTGGGGTCACATGTGAGAGAGAGTACGTAGAAATCTGTTCTCTTCTTCCATCGTGTGGGTTCTGGTGGTCAAACTCAGGTTGTCAGCTTTGGTAGCAAGCCCCTTTACTCACTGAGTCCCCTTGCTGGCCTGAGACTGGCTCTTTTTATTAACACACTAGTGTGTGTGAGTGTGCGTGTGTGTTCATGTGTGTATGTTCATGTGTGTGTTCGTGTGTGTGTGTGTGTATGTGTGTGTTTATGTGTGTGTGTTTGTGTGTGTTTGTGTGTGTGTATGTTTGTGTGTGTGTATGTGTGTGTTTGTGTGTGTATATGTGTGTGTATAGCTACAGATTGGACTTAGACTCCTCAAACATGTTTAGACAAAGCTTTACTGCTGGGCCACTTCATCTTGGAGTCACAGAGTTTTTCTTCTGAACTGAGTGTAGTGACATTGAGCCCTTCCCCCTAACCCCCAGGTCCTGACGTCTATGAATTTTAAATCTTATGCTTACGAGGGTTGTTTTCCCTCCTTGACGTCTCATTACCTGGGTCAACTTGATGTTCACTTCCTTTAATTGCCTTCTAATTTCTGTGATCTTCTCCTATAACATAAGGATAGCGGACACATAATATAAGGATAGTTAGAAGGAATGGTCTACGAAAAGGAAGTAAAACAGTTTTTAGGAAACATAAGATGTCCAACAAACTTCAGATTTCATAGTTCCCCTCCCCTGACAATGTGCTGATGTATAAAACCATCACTGAATCATGTCAGCAAGATGCAGTTAATTGGTGGGGCTGGAGAGGTTAAAACACTGGCCACTCATATAGAGGGTCTGGCTGTGATTCTCATCACCTACATGGTGAGTCATAACTGCCTCCTATTCCTTCTGCTCCAGGGAATCTGGTGCCATCATTAGACCTCTGTGAGCACTGTATGCAAGGGACACACATCCAGACAAGCAGGCATGCACACACATGCACACACAATTTTTTTTTTTGAGACAAGGTTTTTCTGTTTAGATCTGGCTGTTCTGGAACTTTCTTTGTAGACCAGGCTGGCCTTGAACTTAGAGATCCCCCTGCCTCTGCCTCCCAAGTCTTGGGATTAAAGTCCTGCACCATCATGCCTAGACACACAAACCTTTTTTTAAAGGTATGACTGACCACACCCGACAAGTGGGCGAGTACCAGGAGTACTGATCATCCTGAGCAGCCAGCACCCTTCAGCAGCATGTGGTCACACCTGGGTGTATGTATTCACCCTCCTTTTGAACCATGTTAATTCATCACCAGCCCCTGAATCTTGTGGTTTAATAAGGAGCTGTGCCATCCGGCCGCTGAGCTTTCACCCTGATCTTCTGCCTTCACCTCCCAGGTGCCGGAACTGTAGACTTTCTGTGTCATTTTCTGTTTCCTCCCTTCCCCCTTTAACTCCAGCAACTGCCAGCCTATCTTCTGTCCTCAGGTTTTGCCTTTTTCCGCGTCACACAGACGGAATGTGACATCTGCATCCGTCTGAGCTGACATCTTCAAATAGCCTACAGTGCCCGAGATCAGTCACACTGCTGGGATGATCAGAAATGTGTTCCTTTTTATGTCAGGAGTCCCTTGTGCACTCAATACATGGCCTTATCCATCTATCAACTTGTGGGCATGTGACCTGCTTCTGGTTCTCAAGCTCATGTGTGGCATTTGGCATGTTTGGCTTTTAGCATGTACACAACTTCGCACAGCTCCAGCATGCTTTCATACATGTGCATAACAATTTCTCCTTTTCCTGTTACCTCATGTCTTCCTGAGTGGGGTGGCTCACACCAGTAAACACAGTGCTGGGGAGACTGAAGCAGCTGGGTTGCTGAGAGTTCAAGGCTAGCCTAGGCTACAAAGTGAGTTCCAGACCAACCCATGATTAAGAGAAGACGCTCATCTCAAAGCAAAATGAAACAACTCAAATAGGCCAGAGAGATGGCTCAGCAGGTAATAAATAGCATTCGCCACCAACCTGACTTACATCCCTGGACTCCACATGGTAGAAGGACAGAACCAATTCTGGGAAGCTGTCTCTGAAATTCGTGCCTATATACATACATGCATACATACATGCACACACATAACATATCCATACATACATGCATGCACACATACGTGTACATACCCATACATATGCATACATATACACACATACATATCATACACACGAACACACATGCATATATATATGCACACATGCATATGCACACAAACACAATGCATACACATATACACACATATGTGCATATACACATATACATGCATGTTCACATACACACATGCATACATGTATACATGCATGTACACACATACAAAACATACAATAAACAACATAAATACAATAAACATTTAAAAATAAACGTCAAACAAACAAAAATTTTAAAAAGCTTTCTTTGAAGGGAATCTCTGAGAACACAAGGAAATAAAGAAATTGTACTCTTTGGTGGTTTGGAAATATCACAAGAACACATCAGGAGATCATCAAAGGCCACACAGTCAGCATCTTGCCTTCTAAGGACACAGTTAACTAATTCCCATTCCCGAGATGTTTTCTCTGGGTTAGTGGGGCTGGGATTCTGGGATTCAGTCAGGCAGTTCTCCTTAAGGCTCCTTACTTCATGACAGCATCATGACAGAAAGAAGACTACGGGGAGGCCTCACCCACTGTCTAGGAAGCTCAGTAGAGTCCAGCTTTCTGGGCATAGAACAAGGGAGGTGGTGTCCCCTGGAGGAAGGCTCTTGGCACTGTCTGGCCAGTGCCCTCCTGTGATCGAGATGAATCTTCCTCTGGCTATGGTACAGGCATCAGGAAGAGTCCGAACTCAGCTTACCTCAATGTCTGCTTCCTGATCAAGGTCCTCCAAATGTTTAGACTGGTTTTCCAGGGATATAACCTCAGTTAGCAAGCTACAAGCAGACAAAGAGATGGACTAAGTCTTGTGGACTGAGGGAAAAAAAATCATCCAACATGGGAGAGATTTCCACTCTTTCAAAACTGGAGTGCTGTTCTACACAGAAAGGCACAGTAAAGAGAATCGAGTCTCGGCTAGACTAAGCCTCTACTCCTGTTAAAAGGCACAGACTGAGAGAGAGGACTGGTTTTTCCAGCACTGGGGCTTGAACCAAGGCACTTGCTTGTACAGGAGAAGCAAGCACTGAGTTATGGCCACAGCCTGGGCTTTGGATTTCAAAATCCAAAGGCTGAGTATCTGGGATTTTATCTGAACTCTATCAAGGACCTTCACTTCACTAGCAAGTCGGGCACAGTGGTATACACCTATAATCCCAGCGCTCTGCGGTAGAGGCAGGAGGATCAGGAGTACCACGCTAGCTTAAGCTACATGAGACAGAGCTTTAAAGCACACACACAAGAAGAACAGAGACTAACGGATTCTGTGACCGATGGAGGTATTTTGGTCCTCACTGTGTTGGCTCCATAACTATGTAAAACCCACAGGACCTTACATGAAAGAACATAACTGTCCTGCAATAGAGTTATACTTTAATTTAGAAAGGAAATTTATAGCGTATGGGATCTGGATCCCTTTTAATGCTTTGGAGGATGAAAAGGTCCGACGTGGATACGGGTGAGCAGACGCTTTGAGATTGGTAAAGAGGAAACAGCTAGGAGTGTAGCTCCTTTGTGTTAGCAAGGAGGTGGGAGGTCAGACATGTATTTCTAATAAGAGCTTCTGTTTGTTAATCATTGACTGTGACTCACAGTGTGAACCTCACAATATGTCAGTGAGGAGGCTATAATTAATAACCTTTTATATATGAGGAAAGGCAAAGCCTTTAAAAAGTAATTAATTCATTCCCCCCCCCCAAAAAAAAGGGTCATCAGGATTCAAGCTCGGACTTTGTAATGGAGGTGTAGCTCAGTCGAGTGCTGGATTTTCATTAAGACGTGGGCTCAGATCCCAGCATAAAACAGGCTGTGGTAGCACACTCCATAACCAGAAGGTAGAGGCGGGAGGCTTAGGAGTTTGGAATTACATTCAGAATGCAGAAAGTTTGAAGCTAACCTGGGCTGTGTAACACTACTTCAAGGGAAATAAGTAGAGTTCAGGAGAGATGGCTCGGCAGTTAAAGGCAGAAGGACTTCGATCCTCAGTACCCACAAGGCAGCTCACAACCGCCTTCAACTCAAGCTCCAGGGGATCTGATGCTTCTGGTCTCCTGGGTATCTGTGCTTACATGCACACACGTACACGTACGTGCACGCACACACACACTCATAAGTAACAACAATAAAAATAAATAGAGAGTTATGCACACCCAGTATGTGAGAAATCTCTCAGAGACGAGACAAAGACAAAGAGCTAATACAGGTCTGGGATGTCGACTTCTAACCCTGAGATTATGCTCTTGCCCTCGTGGTACCGCCTGCTTGCTGTACCATGCACGGTGTCTTGAGCTTTAAAGCAGGAAGGCGTTCGACTATTTCCCTCCCAGTCCCAACATCCAGTGCTTACCTCTTCACCGTGTTTTCCGTATTATTTATTTTTTGTATAATGTTGTTGATTCTCTCCAGCCAGTCACAGTGGTCGGCTCCAAGTTCTTTCATCTGGAGGCCCATCTTTGCATGCCAGTAGTTCAGCTTGAGGATCAAGCTCTCTGGGATGCTGTGGAAGCAGAACCCTAGTCATTGGGAGGTAGGAAGTAAAAACACCTCCTATGGCTCTAAGTGACCTTCCTGTGCATTTTGTATTACTAAAATGGACCAATTGACGACTTGTTTATCCATGTAAACAGGTCTTTAAAAGTCCAGATAAAGCAAACAGTTTTTCAAAATATGTATTATGTTACCGAGAAGCAAACCTAGGGTCTCACACAAAGCAAACACTCAACCACAGAGCTACATGCCCAGCCTGGAGAATCGGCTCAGTTCCTTTCGAGCTCTTCTTGCTCTTGCATAGACCCTAGGTTTGATTCCCAGCACCCACAGAGTGGTCCACAACCATCCATAACTCCAAGTTTAGAGGATCTGACGCCCTCTTCTAACTCCCTTGAGCACGCACACAGTACACAGACATTTATGATGCAGGCAAAACATTCACACACATACTTTTTTTTTTTAAAAAAAAAAAAAAAAGCTTTATATATTTTTCTCGAGGCTAGGGTTGAGCCCAGGGCTTCACACATGCTAAGCAAGTACTCTACCACTGAGGCCCCAGTTCTAAAAACAGTTATATTTGAAATCTCCCTCTATAGAGTGAACATTGGGCAAGGATGGCGGCAGGGGAGGAGAGGCGTCCAACATGTGACATGCAAGGGCTTACTGGCAGACTTTTGATGATGATTGGAATAATTTTCATATAGAAGAAGTTATCTGAGACTGTTGACATACAAATCAAGTCTAAACTCCAAATCCAAGGACACACAGAGGGCCTTCTGACCCTATCAGCATCCGCAGCCAAGGACGGGCTGACTCTACTATCTTGCTAGGTAGGGTCAGCCAGTCCCTGTTCACGTGGATACTGCTTGGTTCAACTTGTGCCTAGAGTTTGTCAGTCTTCCAGGCTTTCTCTGAATGTCTTCCCAGGATTCATTCTCTCCCCCGTCAATCCGTTCTCTTCACTGGGTGTGTCCAAGCTTACTGGGTGCTCTCCTCCGAAGACGGTGACAGTGGAGGTGGAGACGCTTCGGGGCCCTTGCAAGCTAGTGTTACTTCTTGCTCATCCGGTTTGCTTGCCGGGTTCTGGCCGTGCTCGGACTCCTGCTCCAACCCATCCTGGACAAGATGATGGCGGAAGAGGAGTAAAACAAATGAGTCATCGAGAGAGGCGGCGGCTCCTCCAGCCCTACCCGACAGCCTGCCTGAGCCCGTGCCTTCTCATACATGGATGAGAGAGGGAGACGAGCCCTCTCTGTTCAGCTTGTCAGAGGCTGGGGCAGGCATCAGCCTCCCACAGAAGAGTGGTTTTCAGGGTGAACAGTAGAAATGTACCCGACCATACACTCCGAAACTTGACTCAAATGACATGGCTGTTCTGGTCTCTTCAGAAACTCTGTGTGTTAGCCGGGCAAGGGTGCGTATCTGTAATGCTGGCCCTCAGGAAACTGGAGTGGGAGACTGCTGTGAGTGTGAGGCTTAGACAGTGAGTCTTGGGCCAGCCCAGGCTCCATAGTGTGTTATAGGCCAGCCTGGGGTATATAGACCACAGCAAAACAAGAACAAATGAAACAAAACACACAGTGGGGGCCTTGAACTTATAAAACAGGTAGAAGTGTTTCCTATTAGGACAGTCTGTTGAGCTATGAAAACTAAATGCATGACATAGATTTTGTCCCAGTGTTAGTTTACATATATATATATATATATATATATATATATATATATGACATAGATCTTGTTCCATTGTTAGTTTTAATATATATTTATATATAAATAATACACACACACACACACATATATATGGAGAGAGAGAGAGAGAGAGAGAGAGAGAGAGAGAGTGCTGGGGAGATGGCTCAGTGGTTAAGAGCACTGACTACTCTTCCAGAGGTCCTGAGTTCAATTCCCAGCAACCACATGGCGACTCACAACCATCTGCAACGGGATCCGATGCCCTCTTTTGGTGTGTCTGAAGACAGCAACAGTGTACTCATATATATATCAGATAAATAATTCTAAAAAAGAAAAAAATACAGCTCTAGGACCCAGGTTCAGTTCCCAGCTTGGTCACCCATGACTCCAGTCCCAGGGAAGCTGATGTCCTCTTCTGGCCTCTGAGAGCACCAGGGATACGCACGGTACACAGATATATGTGAAGGAAAAACTCCCGTACACATAAAATACACAAATCTCTAAAAATGACATAGCTCTAAAAACCATTTGAGGCACAGCTGAAGAAACCAGAACACAGAGGGAAGGAGGATATTAGGCTTCTTTATGTGTTAAACTGCTAATTGCTCTAGATGTGATGACAGTGTTTTGGAAATGTAGAAGAAAATCTTTATTTTTAGAGATGCTTTCTGAAGGCAACAGGAACAAACTGTTACATGCTGTTTGACCTACTTTTAAATGGCTTAGTGAAGTGCATTTATTTATACGCACAAAGATAAAGCAAATGCCATGCTTTCTGCTAACTGACATGAATGCTATTTAAAAAATACCATGGTAAGGACATCGCCGACCATTGTTCTGGGCTTTTATGTTCTCCTGTTACTTATTTTCATGGCAAGGGGTTTGAGAGAAATAGCATACTCTGTTGTATTTAGTCCATGAAAGCCGTTCTTTCCTCTTCCCCCACCTCTCTCTTTTTTCTTTCTTGTTTTGTTTTAGAAAAATATTCAGTTCTCTAGCATCTCAATCCTATACATGCTAAATGGCTAAAAATAATAATAACCTACCTTAGAATACTTCTGTCTCTCTCTGCGTGTCTCTGTCTCTATCTCTGTCTCTCTCTGTCTGTCTCTCTCTCTCTCTCCCTCTCTCCTTCTCTCTCTCTCTGAAACTCTACTGTAAAACAGTTTTTCTGACCTTTGAAGAAGTTTTAAGCAAAACTCTCCTGGGCTTCAATCAAACAAATTTAAACCGGAAAGAGAAAAGTTTGGGGCGGGCAAAACAGATTAGTTCGCCACCAAAAGACCTGTGTAAACCCCAGCCAAGGCCACAGGCTCACACCTCAGCATTCCTCAGAAACAGAGTCTGCACCCTCAAGTCTATCTGAGGCTCAGGAATGCTCTCAGCCTTTGCAATGGTAACTCATTGACCCTCACGCAACACAGTGGATTAACCGGGGGGCACCGCGCAGGTATGTCCATGTCCCAATATGCTATGTGTCTCCTTATTTGGACAAGAGTCTTTAAGGTAGACTTTGTCATTGAGTTATAAAAGCTTGAAATCGGGTCATTGTAGATTATTTGGACAGCTCCTCAGTCCAAGGGGAGTGGCCTTAGCGTGAGACAGAGAAGGTATAGCTATGGGACAGGTGCAGGGAGGTGGAGACAGAAACCACAATGAGGCAGCCGCAGTCAGCGCAGGCGCAGTCCAGGAGGAGGCAGGGTATGGATTCTCACATAGATGGAATCAAAGCAGAATGAACGAATTCTGTTGGAAGACTTTCTGCAATCAGAGGATGATTTTACGCATAACCTTTGCTCTAAGGTGGCCTATGCCAATTGTAATTGATCCTCGCAGACAAAACCAGCACATAACATATGGGGGGGGGGTGTATAGGAAAGCTAGGAGGACCCCTCCGTGCGGACAGCAGTGGGAAGCAGTACCATCCCCTGCCTCTCTGTTTTAGTGTTAGACCTATGAAAACCCTTGGGCATTCTCTTCCTGCTTTGAGACACAAGGCGACGTCATTCCTTTACCTGCCGTGACATCGATGTCTCTCCTACTCTTCCTTCTTTTGCGTCTGTTTGTGGGTTTGGTGCGATTGTACCCAAGGCTGTCCTTGAACTTCTCACTCTCCCATCTCCATCCGCTAAGGGCTGGGATTACAAGCATATACCATCAGGCCCACCTTAGCTTACCCATTTTTCAGTGTCCGTCTTGTAAGGGAAATCAGTCTGTAGGTCCTCAGAAGGTTTGTCTTTTTCATCTGGTCTGTCTGAGATGTGGTCCATTTCGATCATTTCCCTTAGCAAATGCAAACAACACAGACAAAGCAGACAGAGGTAATTACTGTACAGTAGGAGTTTAGACTGGTCATCTGCCCTACACGATTCTAATGGAGATCTTCGGAACACACCTCAGCCTCAGGTATATCTGCTACGCTCATACTGACTTCGTCCTGTGTGAACAATGTCATGTACGGTACATTTTGCAGAAGAGAAATAGAAAGGCTGTATAAATATTTGTTGGGTGAATCCATAAATTATTTAGCAGTGAGGTCCCAAATTTCAAATTGCTGCTATTTGTGTTTATATGTATAAAAGTGTGGGAAAGGTAAACATTAAGCAAACAAGAAAGGCTAGAATCTCAAAACAATCTACCAAAGTGTAGATGGGCAGAGAGGACCAGGTCTGTGATGGGACAATGTGACAATGTTATTAGTGTGACACTCACTCTAAAATAACCTGGGAGGTGGGCCTCTGGGTATGTTCTGGAGGACTGTCTTGACTGAGTTCATTGGGCTTGAAGACCCGCCCACTGTGGGCGGCGCCATTCTTTGGTTGGGCTGGAAGCCTGCCCACTGTGGGCGGCGCCATTCCTTGGCTGGGCTGGAAGACCCGCCCACTGTGGGAGCTGCCATTCCTTCGATGGGCTAGAAGACCCGCCTACTGTTGGATTATATAAACAGAGAAAAGATGCTGGACAGATGCAGGGGTTCATTGCTCTAAGCTTCTTGTGTATGGATGCAATGTGGCCAGCTGCATCAGTCTTCCCCTGCCTTAATTTATCCACCAAGACGGACTGTGCCTTGAATTGTGAGCAAGATCAACCTTCTCTCTCATGGTTGGCTTTTGATGTTGTTTTGTTTTTTAATTGCAGCAACAAGAAAAGAAACTAAGACATACTGGTTACCTTTCTCATTGCTGGGATAAATCCCTGAGAAGGAACAGTGAGGGGGACAGTCCACCGTGGTGGAGAAGGTATTGGGGAGAGCTTAAGGCTGCCTGTTCACACTCAGTCAACAAATAGAGAGAGACCAGCAGTAAAGGAGCCCAGCTCCAACCGGCTAAGGCTCCGTCCAGCAACAGGCTTCCTCAGGTAGGCCTCATGAAGGTTCCCTGGCCTCCAAAATACCATCAGCTGGGACTAAGTGTTCAAACACACAGGGCCGTGGGGAAGCTCTATTTAAACCACATCTATAAACATTGAGTTCTCCCACAGCATTCTCTATTCTTCCACAGAGTGTGTGACAAGCATGCAGGTTCCCACAGGTCTATATAAATATGAGGGTATTTGTATACATTATTCTGCATTTTGAACTTCCTTTAGAATAACCTGTTTGGAGTCCATTTCATACTAGTACACTAGGATTTCTTCATATGTATGACTCTATGTTGGGGTTGTATAATTTTTTATTTCTCTGTGTGTGTGTGTGTGTTTGTATGTGTGCACGCGCACATTGTGTGTGTAGTGTGTGTATGTGTGCATGAGTGTGCATGTGTGTGTGCATGTGTGTGTATTCATGTTGTATGCATGTGTGTGTGCAAGTGTGTGCATATCCATGTTGTGTGCATATGTGTGCATGAGTATGTGTGCATGTGTGTGTGTATCCATGTTGTGTGCATGTGTGTGTGCATGTGTGTGCATAACCATGTCATGTGCATATGTGAGCATGAGTGTGTGTGCATATGTGTGTGTGCATGTGTGTGTATTCATGTTGTGTGCATGAGTGTGTGCATGTGTGTGTATCCATGTTCTGTACGTGTGTGTGTGCATGTGTGTGCATATCCATGTTGTGTACATGTGTGTGTGCAGAGATCAGAGATCAGCATAGAGGTCTTCTTCTAATGCTCTTCATTTTATTTCTTGAGTCGTCTTTCACGGAGCCTGGAGCTCACTGTTTTGGCCGCACTAGCTAGCTAGGCAAGCCCCTGGGTTCCTCTAGTCTCTGCCTCCCAACACTGGGGTTACAGTAAGAACTGCTGCACTCTTTCATGTGGATCCCTGTGATTGCACGACCAGCACTTTACCAACTGAACAGTCCCCACAGCACCCCAGGAAAATAATAATACAAAGCAATGCTGTAATGGCCATCCTCCTGTCTGTGTGCTGTGTGTGGGAGTCAGAGCCAGCACATCAACAGGCAGTTCCTGAACCCTGCTTTGCTAAACTTTCCCAGATTGCACTTTGCTTATTTATTGCTACTGCTTTGGCTTTTGTAGACAGAGCCACATATAGTCTCTTTGAACTATGTAGCTGAGACTGGCCTTGAACTCCTGACCCTGCTGCCTCCACTTCCAAATGTTGGGATAACAGGCATGCACCAATATGCCTGGCTTCTAACCTGTGCTTCAAAGATGTGGAATTGATTTATACTCCTGACAGAAATGGTGACTGAACCACAACATTTTTCCAGAATTGTCTATTTTTATTTTTTTAATTTTTTTTCAAATATTTATTTATTATATATGAATACACTGTAGCTGTCTTCAGACACACAAGAAGAGGGCATCAGATCTCATTACAGATGGTTGTGAGCCACCATGTGGTTGCTAGGATTCGAACTCAGGACCTCTGGAAGTGCAGTCAGTCCTCTTAACCACTGAGCCATCTCTCCAGCCCCAGTATTGTCTATTTTTAAAGTTCCTGTTCTCTGCTAATCTGATATTTAAGGTGGAATGGTGGTTTGATGTTAATTTCTCCAGGCAAGTGAAGCAGAGAATCTTTGCTTGTGCGTTCTCAGCTTAGTCCTGTTCTCACCTGTGTGACAACTGTGTTAGAGCCCCTGCCCATCTCCTACTGGGCTGTTGTTATTTTACTAAACTGCATTTATGTGATACATACACACATTTTTAAATGAATCAGAACAACTTTGCAATGTATGTCTGTGGTAGGTCATATCTGTGGACCCTGAGCCCAGAAGTGGTCTAGGGACTTATCACACCTACCTTACTCTGGTGGTTTGAATGAGATGCTCCTGTAGTCTCAGCCATTTGACTGCTTGGTCCCTAACCTTGATGGTGCTGTTTGGAAGGTTTAGGAGTGTGGCCTTGTTGGAGGAAGTTTGTAACTGGAGGTGGACTTTGAGAGTTCAAAACTCCTGCCGGTTCCAGTTTGCTATCTCCACTTCACGTTTGTGGTTTGAGGTGTGAGAGCCCTCGGCTGCTGCTCCAGCTGCTGTGTGTGCCACCTGCTGCCTCTGCTCCCCATCATGGACTCACCCTCTGAGAGGCCATGAAAGTTCTTCTGTAAACTGCCACAGTCCTGGTGCTTTATCACAGCAAGAGTAATGAATATTCACACGCAGGAAAAGGTCTTGGCATTTATAGGCGTATGTAAACTGTCTTTAATCCCAGCACTTGGGAAGCAAAGGCAAGCAGATCTCTGTGAATCTAAGGCCTGCTTAATGAGTTCCAGACCAGCCAGGGCTACACAGTGAGACACCATCTCAAACATAATTGGTAGCAACAAGAGTTACCCGTTGGATCCGTGGTTGCTTATAATCACAGGATTGTGTGACTAACAAAATGTAACTGTGCATTCTAAAAGGCTACGTCTTTAGCAACTGTAGATAAGGGAGCCGTGAAGGAATCTACAAGAAGCAATCGATTTCCTAAGTGGAAATTGGAATCTTGGCAGCTCTGCTGCTGATGCCTCCTTCACACCACAAGCCTCACAAGTGGCCCATATCACAGTAGATACTTATGAGCTAAAATTAGATGAACTGGAGAGGAGAATGTCCACCCTGACCCTGAACCAACGTCTCATGATGGGTCTCCTGCTGAGGCAGGTCCCAGAGTGGCTCTGGTGAGCTCAGGCCTACTTACATCGAACCTTCAGTCACGCTGATGTTTTGGAGAAGATTGCTGCTCTTCTCAGTCACCTGAAGTTCCTCCCTGGCTGTCCTCATCTGCAGAGACATCTTGTCTTTTCTGAGGGTCGCCGGTACGAGAGCCGTCACTTCAGTGCTGCAAGAACAGTGACAGGAATCTGTCAGCAGGATCAACAGTCCTCTGACATGTGGCTAATTCTTCCACAGAGAATGCAGCCTGTCTCCAATGCTGCCAAGATGGCTGTCATTCTATGAGACCCCGAAAGCAAGCTCTTGAGAATCTCTGTTCAAGTACACAGGGAAAGGATTTGTGTGTGATCATCTCCGAGGATGGCAGCTGATGTCTAAGTCGATAAATCACCCTTAAATAGGGACATCATAGAGAAATGTCTAACATTTTGGGGTAAAAGTCTCCAGGTTCGTAAGTTATTTCTGGTTATATAACATACTTGTTGCAAAAACTAGAAAGCAGAATATAAAGTCACTAGTATATCAGGGCCAAATAACCATAGATGGTCTCCAGGGATATCCAGATGTAAGCATTTACTACTGAGATGGTCTGTCCTCTCTGTCTTTGGAACTCCTGTGTGTTTCCCATTGCTGACAACTGAGTCATTGCTAACTCCTCACTAGTAGAATACCTTATCAATACAATGATGTAATACATTCTCATTAGAGTGACCCCTGCACCCCTAACTACTCAGGCTACTGTCCTAGAACTGCGGTTATTTAATCAAAGTGGGTATCATAAAGATTCTTCAGGATTTAGAGAAATACTTCTAAATTGAACTTCAAAACAACAACAACAATAACAACATGTGCCAGGCGGTGGTGGCGCATGCCTTTAATCCCAGCACTTGGGAGGCAGAGGCAGGTGGATTTCTGAGTTCGAGGCCAGCCTGGTCTACAGAGTGAGTTCCAGGACAGCCAGGACTATACAGAGAAACCCTGTCTCGAAAAAAAAATAAAATAAAATAAATAACAACATGTACAGAGTGAGTTCCAGGACAGCCAGGGCTAATCAGAGAAAACAAAAACAAAGAAAAAAAAGTTTGTCTGTAAGACTGTGAACTGAAATCGAATCCTTTGCAAAAGCAGCAAATGCTCTTAACCAAGCTCAGCCGCTTCTCCAGTCCCCACTCCCAAATTGAACTTCTAAAGGCTCTATCAACAGGTACCACCAGCATCTGTGTGTGAGCCCTGCCCTTCCTTCTGGCCAGGTGAGCTCACTAGAGAGCAGAAAATTGTGGAAGGGTTGGAGTACTTTAGCGACTTTAAAATAAAGGAAAGAAATACAAAGAAGGTCCCAGTGGTTCACATCTAATGTCCCAATACTTCTGAGGCTGTAGCAGGGGAATTATCTTCAGTTTGAGGCTAGCTCAGGCCAGTCAGGGCTATAGCATGAGGTTTTAGCTCCAAACACACAGGCAGAGAAGGGTGAGACAGAAACACCTGTGGAAAGCTTTAAGAAGGTGACAGGGAGAGGACTTTCTTGGTACAGAGACAAGGCAGATCTCTGGGTTTTGCTAGCCAGCCAGCCTAGCCTACTGAATCGAGAACTCTAGATCAGTGAGAAACTCTGCCTCAAAAAATAAATAAATAAATAAATAAAGTGGGGCCTTTGAGAGGGCTAAGTAGGTAAATGCACTCACTGTCCAGCCTGATGACTTGAGTTTGATCCCCAGAACCTGCCAGGTGGAGAGAACTGATTCCCGCAGATTGTCCTTTGACCTCTGCATGCACACCAGAGAAAATGTGCACACACGTAAATATCGATGGATTTTTAAAGAATCAAAAACAAAGTGAGTAGCAAACAATACACATCCACACACCCATGTGTGCACAACAGAAAAGGAAGTTAATCTATTTTATATTAACTTCACATAACACAGTGGTAACAGTAGTGGGTAACAGTACTGATTACAAACACAAAGCACTTTCCCGGTTAGTAAGGCATGATCGTTACATTGTTTCATTCAGTCCTCACCATTATGGAGCAGGCCATTAACAAGCCAGATCTTAACCTTTCCTACTTTTAGATCAGGAAACTGAGAGCAGTGGTGACCTATAATTTATCCAGTTTCATTGCTAAGACATAGTAGAAGCGAGATTTAAACTGTCAGTCTGCTTCACAATTGCCTATGAACAGAAAACTTTTTTTTCCACTTCCACAGGTTTGATGACAGCCGGTTGACCTCCGAGGCAGTTCCACCTTCTGAAGGTAACTTCTGATTGTCTATACAGCCAGAAGAAGCACACTACTCTAAGACAACACACAAGCTCTGTGCTTGCAGAGCACACAGAACCTCCCGTCCTCCCTAGCCTCACCTGATCAGCCACTTCAAGGAGAACCCAGCGGTTCCTATACACAGGGACATTTGGAAACATTCATTCTTTGGGGTTTATTTAACGGCAACCCCTCTTCTCCCTTGAGGAGGAACACAGAGGAGCCCATACTCTTGTCCTTCCCCATCTTGTTATCATTCGTACCTGGGACGTTTGACTGGTGGCAGAGCCTGTGTTCCCTAGCTCCTGGGGCAGAGAAGCCTTGCAGGTTGGTCCACACCTGGGCAGGAAAATTTGCAGTTGGGCCTGCTCTCTCTGGCATTCTACTTGGAACCCAGCATGCAAAGCTCCTAACTCCCTCCCCTGAGAGCAAAGACAGCAGTGTCCCGTGTCTCTAACCTGTAGCACCAGCTTGCCTCTTAGCCTTCTGATTTCTCCTCTAGGGTTAGGACCATCTCCCACCCTGTCATCTCTTCATCCATCAACTGGCCTCAGACACACAGTGACCTGGGGTGCTCATCTGACCACAGCTCCCTCCACCACACACCATCTTTCAACTTGTCTCATCTCCCACTGTCCTTTGACCTTGGAGCCTCCAACCTCCTCACAGATGCTCAAAGGCCTCCCACTGGACGACTGAATGCTCCTCTCTGTTCAGGAGAGCAGTTGACCTTAGAGGCAGCGGTTGCACGCCTAGGGTTCTGACCCTCAACGACCACACTTCCTCTTGAAGTCTACATTTCTGTCATTTCCAGCCATCATCTGTGGGAAGCCGGAATCCACAGCAGGACCTAACCGGCTGACCTCCACGACTCTCAACTCCTGAGTCTTTTCTCCTCTGCCGGCAGTATAGAGATGAAAGTGGGAAAGCTTACAAGCCTTACCTTTGTTTTGCATCCATGTTTGAAGCCTGGTTTTGCCACATGACTGCTGCTTGGTTTGGGGACAGAGTTAATTACTTTGTCTGGAAGCGGGGTTTGGTGATGTCTACCTAAGGGAAACACTGGAAGGATTTAGGTGATTATTGGGAAGGAGTGGGAAGCTGGGCAGTTTCAGGAGCTCCAGGTAGAAAGTAGGTACCTTGAGGACAGCCATGAGTGCTTGCTTCGATGGCTTTCCTAGCTAGAAGAGTGGCCAGCTCTCCGAAGGTGCTCAGAATCTTACCAAGGGTACTGGGGAATGCACAGCGAGGAGTTGAGATGTTTTGACAGGATCTCTGAGGCTTTGTGCTCATCACCACCTCAGCTCGAAGCTCCAGTCAGGAGTCTCTTTCCTATGACCTTTGCTTTACCTGGTTCAGAGGTCAGATTCTGTCCCCCGCCCTCTGGCAGTGCCTGCTGGGATAATCTCCAATCTTTGGGCTCCCACCTCAAATCATAACAATGCCCTTGTCTTAGGAGTCCCAGGACTCCATGTTTCTTTAGGAGGAAAACAAATCACAAAATTCTTCTTATTTAATCAACACCATAATAGGAAATACTTTTTGAATGTTCACTAATATGCCAGATATTCTTGTATATATATTTTACATATATAAGCTGTTTTTCTAAACAATTCTTCAACAGAGGAAGGATCTGTGACTCATATCCAAACCTAGATAGTATGGCCTCAGGCCCTTTAAGTATACTTAGCGTACTTAAAAGTGTATTGTGGTCACTCTTAATACTGGGTTCTCACAATGATGGTGGTGGTGGCGGTGGTGGTAGTGGATCCCCATATTCACCCATACAAAGAAAATAAATGTAGTTTAAAACTTCGGGAGAAATGGCTGGAGAGATGGATCACCAACTGAGAGTGCTCACTGCTCTTCCAAAGGACCCAGGCATGGTTTCTAGCATCTGTGTGGGAAATGCCTGTAACTCCATCTTAAGGAGTTCTGGTGCCCCTTCACGGCCTCCAAGGGCACTGGCACACATGTGAGACACACACACACATACACAGAGAGACACATGCTCGCACATACACACACAATTAAAAATAAAATATTTTATAACCAACACACATGCCGCTCAAAAAAAATTTTTTTAACTAGGCAAAGAATTTTATTAACCTTTTCCAAACTTTATTCCCAGGCTTCTTCAGCTTAATTTGCCACGAAGAATGAATCAGATATAAGCGAAAACTGAAAAGAGCTGTACTGTGTAGGGGTGGGGGGCTTGGGCTTAAAAATATTAGAGATCTAGATTTTATCAAATCCATAATAAAAAAATTTAAGGGGCTGGAGAGATGGCTCAGCGGTTAAGAGCACTGACTGCTCTTCCAGAGGTCCTGAGTTCAAATCCCAGCAACCACATGGTGCCTCACAACCATCCGTAGTGAGATTGGATGCCCTATTCTGGTGTGTCTGAAGACAGCGACAGTGTACTCATAAATAAAATAAATAAATAAATCTTTAATAAAAAAAATTTAAAAAGCAGTCATGATATGAAATAGCAGCTCCTGTAACTTCTGCAAGTGTCACCTCCTTCAGAAGCTGCTTCATTCCTAGAAGCCTCGTCAAAATTCTCCACCAGATCTGGAACTTCATCATCGTCCTTCTCTCCAGGAGCAAGTGATGCTTTTCTGTCCAGATTGTTTGGGCAGAGCTTCAGCCAGTCTCCTTAAACTAGTCAAACTCTCTGCACCAAGCTGGTTTAGGATTCTGGGAAGTGTTTCTGTCAGCTGCTTTGTCTCCGTGTGGCTTGTAAGGGTGAAGGTGTGTGCTGCCAGAGATGCCTGAAGTTTAGGGTTGTTAAAAAGGATTACTGTTACTTGGTTTGTAAACATGTTCACCTCCTCAATACCAGAGATATTGTTTACCCCTAACTTATTTAAGGAGAACTGCAGCTTTTTATCATCTGCTGTGGCTGTTCTGTGAACCACCTTCTTTCTAATGAGCAGTTCCTTTCCCACCAGTGCACACTTGTGCCTGCAGTTTGGCGAGGTTTTTTCCTGGTTCATGATCATTTCTTTATCTTGTCGGAGTGGAAATGGCACCGTTCGGGGAACTAAGGTTCACGCTCAGGGTGTCTCATAAGGCACACACATGCAGGGACACAAGATGGCAGTTCAGCACGCAAATTTTAATGGTGAAACGATTATAATCTTGTTGAAAGTATAAATTACATAATAACTGTCTGTTTTACTGAAGGCTTGGCAGGGGCATCATGCCTTTCCAGCTGGTCGACGCCCCTGTCAGAAGGCCAGGGATCTTCATGCTGACCTTGACAACTGCTACAATCAGGGGAAACAAGTGTCAAAAAAAAAAAACTAAAAAGAACATTAAGAAGAAGCAAGCTTTTATGGTTTCCTGTGACAGGCTGTGTCTCTCTGGGGAGGGAGGCAAAGGGAGCTCAGAAGGCACAGCAGACCCTCGGGGCTTCTGCAGAAGGGAGGACGTGTGGTCAGCCCTCACCCAGTCAGCCAGTTTGTCTCCATGAAGCTGCAGGCAGTTTTTAAATTTGGGGAGTAGGAAGGCTGCAGGGTGGAGAAACTGCTGGAGTCAGCCTTTCTGTTCTCAGGGGCGGGGATAATCTGGTAGAGAAAGTCTTTCTGTTCTTCGATGTTGGGATATTTGTGACATTTTTCAGGGAATATGTATGAATGAGTTCCATTCTCTAGCTGGGCTGTAATTCAAAGTATAGATTTTCAGAGATTGCGCACAGCCACTTAAGCAGAGAAGCAGCTTTTATCTGGGCAGAGTCTGGCTGGAACTCCAGATAAGCCTGTGAACAGCGTACAGGCAACCATGTTACAGAACCACCTGGAAGAGTGCCGTGGGATAATTTTCCCATCCAGTCAGTTCCTAGAAGCCATGCTCTGAGGCCAGGGATGGTATCTCACACGCTGGAAGTTCAGCTCCAGAATCTCACCTGCTCCAGAAAGTGGCCCAGATTCCAGATACTTCTCCTGAGACACTGAGGCTTCTAGGTTTCTCCTTGGACATCGACACATCGGCCTGAAATGCCCAGGGAGAGCTGGCTCTGACACGAATGCCCTGGGCTGCTGACATCAAACTTCAGGACCCAGCCTATAAGGGCCTAGGAGGAAAGTTTCAATTCTCTAATCAACTCTTTCTATAATGTGATCTGAAGAATAAGCTTTATAAATAACCCAGGGCTCTCCCTGCCCCACTGCAGTCCCTCTGTTAAACTGAAGGGTTCCTTCTAAACCACAAGCCCCACACCAGGTAGGATCTCTTCACTGGGACTGCATCTACTGTACCCAGTTCCTCTTGGCTTACAAACACTCCCTGTGGAGAGGGTTAGACACTAACAGTAGGGAAGGAGAGGTCCCTGTTAAGAAAACACCAGCTCCAGAAGACAGGCCCAGGAAAATTCCAGAGGAGAGCGCTAAGAATGGGAGTATTTGGCAGAGCTATGGCTGACCACACGAACAGGAATAGTTCCCTATTCTCCATCAGTTCCCACTGTTTAGGTTCTGTATCTGCCAGCTGACTCTGGCTTTCAGAAACAGACACCAAATCGCGGGCTGTACACATTCCCGGCTGCTGAGAGCCCGGTGTCTCGTTCTCTCTGCTCTCTTCCTTCAGCTTTCCCGCTATGAACACGATTCTCTTCCCCGTCTAGTCAGTACATTGTTTTCTGCAGCCTGTGTCTGGAGTTGAGGCAAAGGGCTGACAGCTGGGGTGAAACAGTAGAGATAAACCTCGCTCAGCGTTGTTGGCAGCCAGTTCAAGGCCAACGAATCAACAACAGATTGAGGGGGGTGTGGTGTTGCAGGCCGGTGATATCAGCAGTTGGCAAATAGGAAATCCAAGGTCATTCTGGGCTACAAAATGAGTTCAAGGCCGACCCTGGTATATATATATACTAAATATGTCTTTAAACAGGAGTGCACATAAACCAAGTTTGCAGATCGGTTGGTGGGTGTCAGTATGAGCAGAGGCTCATGGGAGTCCTAACCCTGCAGCTCCCTGGGACAAGCGCTTACTCAGCCTTAGCTCATGTGCTGTTCACAGGAGTGAAAAGAACTGAAGTGAGAACGGCCTACAATCTGAGTGTCTGAAGGATGACCAGGAATGGTCAAAAGTCTGTTCCACACAGTAATAAACTGAAAGGCAGATGTGCTCGTGCCTTTGATATTCACAGGAGAAAAGATGACCGAGGACTGGCTTGGCAGTTTGGATTCTACTAAAATCAAGAACCCCTTCGGGTAGAGCAAAGTCTCAGGAAGATTCTGAAACTTCTCTTTCGCTTCCACCTAGGAGATGTTGTTTCCAAGGGGTGGGGTGGGGTAATGCTGTTTAAAGACACACTGTTGCGGCACTGAACAGACAGACCCAGGAGAGCAGCACACCTACAGACTGAGCTGCCATCTTACCTTGGTCCTGTCTATTTCTTCATTCTTAGGTGATAAGTACATTTACTTGAAATTTAGCTTCTCTATAACCAAACATCATTTTTATTGCACTTACGTGGAAAGGGACAGGCTCATGCAATATTGAGAATATGGAGGACAGCTTCGGAGGGTTGGGGTGCTCTCCACGTGGATCCTGGGAAATCAAGCTCAGGCCGTCAGCCTTGGCGGCAGGTGCCTTTATCCACTGAACCATCTCCCCAGCCCAGTGGACATTATCTCTAACAGTACCTGGCTAATTAGAGGATTCTCTGCTTGGGACTCGACTGTGGCCTGGCAGAGCTTTCTCTGTAACTCTAAGCTTTATCTGAGAACTCTGGCTCATGATAACTTACTACCTTTGAAGACGAGATTCCCAAGAGTACTTGCGATGGCAGATGAATGCTCACTTACACACAGAGTCATCCTCAGCAGTAAAGTAAGGCCTTGGCCAGTTTATACAAGTTCCCGTGTGGAATGGCCGTTAGGCATCAGAAGGCCAGGTCATGTGCTGCCCCTCAGCCAGCCCAGGTGAACAGGCATGGAGGGAGGACACCAGTTATGACCCTCAGCACAGGACACACAGGCTGGCTTCCAGGGCAATGACCTCCATGGACCTGTGAGATCTGGCTTAACACCATGTTCCTGCTCATGGCTTCCAGAGGACCAGTGCATCTGACAAGAGCCGTTTGAGAGGCTATTCTGATTGGAGTCAGGATCATGACCTAAAACTGGCCAACAAGCTAAAAGACAAGTGTGTGGGGGGCGGGGAGCTGGCAGAGCCCTGTGCTTTCAGATCTCTGCAGCAGTGGTGTGGCTACAGAGTTTGGGGTTCTGTTTTTAAGGAGGTCTCACTGAATATGCCAGACTGACCTTTAATTTGAGATCTCCTTTTCTTGCCCTCCCAAGGCATCCACCATATGCCCAGCTTTGGCTACAGACGTTAGACACCGGTAGCCAGGCACCGAAGCCCATGAAATCGGTTTATCATGGAGAACCTCCTTCTCTTGGTTCTACAAGAGAAACACTTCTTCAGACCAGAGAAGCCGAGCAACAATGAGCAAAGCCATGAGTGACGGGTGTCTGTGTTGCCAAAGGATTACTCAGCTGATTAATATTATATCATTATGTATTTATTGGAGACATGCTCTTATGTAGCCCAGGTTGGCCTCAAACTCACTATGTAGCCAAGGATGACTTTGAACCCCTGGTCCCTCTTCTTCTTCTTCCCCAGTGTTTGGAATGTAGGAGTGCTCCAACATACATAGCTCCTGCATTTTATGTATTGCTTAATTTTTAACACAAGGTCTCACTATGTGGCCTGATACTCATAGTAATCCTCCTGCTTCGCTTCCTTAGACACAAGCTGTAAATCCATCCAAGGCATAAATGCTTTTAAGATGAGTTTTCTCTGTGCAGGAAGTTTCCAAAAGGAAGATGTGTGTGTGTGTGTGTGTGTGAGTGAGAGAGAGAGAGAGACAGAGACAGAGAAACAGAGACAGGCACGGGGCAGGCGGGAGAGAAAGACCTTATCAATTCTGTGCTACTGTGTTGACCAGAACCCTCCTCCAGCATTCACTGTCTTGAGTACAGTAGATTCTGTAACTTACTGCTGGAAAGTTCTCTGTAAGGGAGAGCTGGCTGACCTGTTACTTACTTTGCTTTTTGGAAGTCCAGAGGACAGAAAGCCTGCTTATCCAAATGCTTATGCAGAGACCCAGGCAAAGCATCTGCTTTGACTGAAATTACAAGAAATACCTTTACGACCATAATGCTTCATCCAGCAGCAGCCTCTGCCTCTGATGGTGGTGTGCAGGAATGCTAATCGTGATAACAGGCTTTGGGGTAACATGGGATTTGAGGAGAGTGCAGCTTCAGACTGACACAGCTGACCGAGCCATACAGATTTGGCAGGGTGACTGGGACCTGAAATAACCTCAGGGCCTCAAGGTGAAGGGTCAAAGGACTGGAATACCTTTCTCTATGCAACTGAGGCTGGTACAATAACTAGATTCTTCTGTTCAAAGCTCACCTGTCAGCCTGGAGCCATAGCTCAGTTCCATGAGCCAGTTCAAGGCCAGCCCAGCCTACATAGAAACAAACAGATCAATGAATAAATAGTTCATTTGTTTGTCAATCCACATTGTATCATACAGAGGCTGAGGAGATTAAATGTGTCATTTCCAGAAGCCCAAGGCCTAACAAGTAGCAAACATGCCTTTAAAAGAGTATATCTGGAGCTCAAGTACTCTTGTTATCCTGACACAAGAGGAAAACATTAAGTTCCACTCGCTGTTTTCCCCTGTTTTTACTTTCCTGCAGCAGGAAGAAAGCAGGGTGAGGAACTGTTTCGGGAGATATTTAAAATGGCGGCACCTGATCTGTCTTGTGTTACAGAGCTGCCAGTTTCCCAAATAGGCTAGGCCTGAAGTCACGAGCAGCGGTGTGGTGTGTTCTTGCTGCTGCTGCTGCTGCTGCTGCTGCTGCTGCTGCTGCTGCGGCTGCGGCTCAGGCCACAGGCTCAGGATGGCCAGAGCCACCAGCCCTTCCACCCACAAGATGCCGGCGTGGGAGATGGCTCTGCCAATCTTCTACACTGTCTACACTGTCTCCACAAGCCTGGGCTGACCCCAGGCCATCCCACCATCACGAGAGCCTGGTAGAAATAAGACTCTAATGCTTAGATTATCCAATTTGGTAATGCTCAATAACAAGATGCCCACACAATTGGAGGTGTTTCCCAATCAACTAACCTAGATACAAGTTGTTACCCAGGACTGCTCTTGATCCATGGCATGGTTCTCCAGCCTCCTACATCTCTGCTCCCTAGCTCCTCCTCTTCCTCCCCTTACTCCTCCTCTTCCTCTCCTTCCTCTTCCTCTCCTTACTCCTCCTCTTCCTCCTCTTCCTCCTCCTCTTCCTCTCCTTCCTCTTCCTCTCCTTACTCCTCCTCTTCCTCTTCTTACTCCTCCCACCTTAGCTCCTCCCAACTTTCGGGAAAAACGTGCTGCTACAAGAAACGATAATGGACTTAACATGTCCATAAGTCACAAGCGGCATTGGCTAAACTCTGTAAAATCTCTCTGCTTGGGAGCCACGCGGTGGGGAAAGGGGAGGTCCCCTTACAGTTACTGCACACCTGCTGGTTCGTGTTGTTCTGAGTCCCTACTGCTATGTCGATAATCCTGACACAATGCACCTGAGCGCCCTGCAAACCACACGTTGGGGTTGGAGAGACTCTACCCCTGCAGGGCTCACGAGTGGGGGCACTGTAGCAACTCAGGTGGGTGGTGCAGGCAGCAGAGTGTGGGTGCGCCCTATACACCCTGAGTCAGTGCGCTGCTCCATACTTGGTGATGAGAGTTGGGTCAGGCATGGCTGATGTTGGCTCTCTTGCTTGTGGGGCCTGGCCCTGGTTTTGGTAGTAGTGAGAGGCCTGAAGCACTTTGTTTCTGTGACCAGTGTATTGGCTCAGGTGTTTCCCAGAGAGAGGGTGGGTGGGAACCATGACACCTACTGTGTGCTCACACAAGGCCCTGATAACACTGGTGGTCAGGAGAGGTCAGGCGTGGTAGGAATCTCAGCGAGCTGGAGCAATTAAGGCCTGTACTGTAGCTGTTCCTCTCTGCAGCTGTTGCAGGGACACCTGCCTAGGAACAGGGGACTTCCGATGCCTGCGAATGCAGAGTGGCTGGGACTTGTCTCACCCCAGCTCTTAGCTAAAAATGTCCACAGGGAAAGGCAGATAGAATGAGAGCAGGACATTTCCCTGGTTGTGGCTTCTCAGGGTAAAGGCAGCAGTCAAGCTTGCTTCTCTCAGCTCCTTCAGGTGAAGTGTCACAGACATCAGGTGAAGTCACACAGCGTCCAAGTGTCACAGTGTTCAGGTGTCACAGTGTCCAGGTGTCTCAGTGTCCAGGTGTCACAGTGTCCAGGTGTTCAGATGAGGTGTCACAGTGTCCAGGTGTCTCAGTGTCCAGGTGTCACAGTGTCCAGGTGTTCAGATGAGGTGACACAGTGTCCAGGTGTCACAGTGTCCAGGTGTTCAGATGAGGTGACACAGTGGTGATAGCTAGCTGTATTTATCAGTGGATTGATTGGCTTTTCCAAGACAATGTCTTGCTGTGTAACCCTGGCTGGCTTGAAACACTGTGTAGACCTGGTCATAGTGAAGATGTCAAGGCAGGAACTTCTGTTGCAGCATGCCCACAGTCAAGAGCAGAGGTAGATGAATGCATGTGTGTTTGCTTTGGCTTATGTTGGATTTCTCCAACCATACAACTCATGACTCCCTGCCTAGGGAATGGTGCTACCCACAACCAAGATGGGCCTTCCTCCTCAATTAACGGAAAATCCCTCAGAGGCACACCATAGGTCAACCCATTAAGATAATTTCTCAGTGAGTCTTTCTTCCCCGGCAATGCTAGGACAATATCAAGTTGACAATTAAAAATGACCATGGATGTGTGTGCGTGCGTGTGTGTGTGTGTGTGTGTGTCTTCTGGTGAGGGGGACAGACCTTTCCTGATTCATTGTCTCTGATGGTCACACTGAGTCACTCTCTGGCATTAGAAGGTCCCTGCCCTCCCTCCCTATGACGCTATTTCCTTACCCATTTCTTTCTTCCCAAGAGCAGGAGTCTCATGGGCTCAGACAACAGCCCAGTAGAAAAAGAAGACCTTGATCCCAGGGAGCCAGTGACGAGGGCTGAGAGCCAATCAGAGTGGCAGAGGTCTCAACGGCAGCGAGGAGGATGATGGGGTGGCTTCCCCTCCCCCTATCTGCCTTGTTCCACAAAAGAAAGTAAAATCTTCACAGTGAGATTCTCAGTCTGGGGACATTGAGACTTTTACACACTCCACTCAGGGGCCTGGACAGTGAATACAGATGGGTATTTTGGTTTTTGTTTGGTTGTTTGGTTTGGTTGTTGTTTGGTTGTTTTGGTTATTTGGTTGGTTGGTTTGGTTGCTGTTTGGTTGGTTGATTGGTTGGTTTGGTTAGGTTTGGTTGTTGTTGGTGATATGGTGGTGGTGGTTTGGTTAGGTTTAGTTTGTTGTTGATGGTGGTGGTGGTGGTTTGGTTTGGTTAGGTATGGTTGTTGGTGGTGGTTGTGTGGTTGTTGTGGTTTGGTTTGGTTAGGTTTGGTTGTTATTAGTGATGTGGTGGTAGTGGTGGTGGTGGTTTGGTTGTTGTTGATGGTGGTAGTGGTAATGTGGTGGTGGTTTGGTTTGATTAGTGGTGGTATGGTAGTGGTGGTGTGGCAGTTTGGTTAGGTTTGGTTGGTGGTGATGTGGTGGTGGTTTGGTTAGGTTTAGTTTGGTTGTTGTTGATGGTGGTGGTAGTGTGGTGATGGTGGTTTGGATTGGTTGTTGTTGTTGGTGGTGGTGGTTGTGGTTTGGTTTGGTTAGGTTAGGTTCGGTTGTTGTTAGTGATGTGGTGGTGGTTTGGTTGTTGTTTATGGTGGTAGTGGTAGTGTGGTGGTGGTTTGGTTTGGTTTGGTTTGGTTAGTGGTGGTGTGGTAGTGGTGGTGTGGTAGTGGTGGTGTGGTAGTGGTGGTGTGGTAGTTTGGTTTGGTTGTTGGTGGTGTGGTGGTAGTTTGGTTTGGCTTGGCTTTGTTTGGTTGTTGGTGCTGTGGTGGTGGTGGTGTGGGGGTTAGGTTAGGTTTGGTTGTTGTTGGTGGTTTGGTTAGGTTTGGTTGTTGTTGGTGGTGGTGGTTTGGTTAGGTTTGGTTGTTGTTGTTGGTGGTGGTTTGGTTAGGTTTGGTTGTTGTTGTTGGTTGTGTGGTGGTGGTGGTTTGATTTGGTCACCACACTGAACTGCTAGCAGCATCTAATAGCCAACATCTCTAGGTGCACAGGCCTAGTTCCCACACCACACAGCAGGACTGTCACAAATGCTCACAAAAATGACACAGAAATCCCAGACTGTCGTGGTGACCTCAACACTGTGATGTGTCCCCACATGGAAACCTTACTGGGAGTTTATAAACACATCAGGATAGTTCACACTGCACATGGACACGAACAGGAAGGCAGCTGGACTTTGGGAGCAGGTGCAAGATTGTGGCTGTGTCTGGTATAAACCACCCACTAATGGCCTGATGCCAGGCACCACCTCTCTATGGCAGGCATCCTCCTACAGATGTCTCCTCTGCTCCAGAGTGTAAGATATGCCCAAAGCAAAGATGTCCTCTTGTCTGACTTGAAGCAGGCCCCACTTCTCAGAAATCACTGTGTTTTTCTAAGTTTGGACTGTGAACTGTTCATAGCTGGGTGTTTTCTGTTCAGCTGTCGTAGTCATTAGATAGCTCGTAGCTAAATTCCTCACACTAGCGTGCATTTAGTGTTATTTATAGGCTAAATATTCTAATTCTAGAGTTAAAAGAAAATGCATTTTTAAGTTTCTTTTTCCAAAATGCCAGCCAGTTCTCTTTTCCTTAGCCTAAAATTACAAAAACAACTTGTGTCCTTCGTCAAAAGGCCCATCCATTGCTTGCTTTGCGTGTTCTATTTGGAAAGTTGTCTCTATATTCTGATCCTTAAACTGTAGGGAATTTTATTGTGTTTTAAGTTATCTATTTATTTACTGATGCCTGGTCTTGCTATGGAGCCCAGGATGACCTCGAACTCACAAGCCTCCTGTCTTTGCCTCCTATGCAGGCCTTCCTATCTCCCACTGGAGAAATCTACCACTATCAAGTCGTGCAGAAGGAGGGTCCTGGAGGAGAAGCCTTAGCAAGCTTGATAAGCTGTATTAATTTTGTCACAGATGTTCCTCTGGGAGAATTGCTGGGCCATTTCTGCTTGTCAGCCTATGGGAGAATCCTGATGTGTGTTTTTGAAGTGATCCCATCAGACACAGATGTCACAGTCCTGAGACCACAGACAACACCACTGTGGACATTACATCCCTCCCCCTGACAGGGTTACACAGTAGCCCAGGTTGGCTTCAAGCTTGCAGTCCTCCTGCCTCCATTTCTGAAGTATAGATACACCCACACCTGGCCTTATATTTCTTTTTGATGAGTTCCATTTCACTGTTAAATATGTTTGTGATGGCTCTTGTGTTTCAGCAGCACACAGCGCATGCTATAAGGAACACCCAGCCAGGCGTGATGGCCCAGGCCTATAATGCTAACACCCAGAGATAGAGGCAGGAATATAAGTATTCAAGGTCATCCTCAGACTAAGTTAAAGCCCATCCTGGGCTCCATGAGAAAAAAAAATCAGCCAAAAAAGGCCACAGTAACTTTTAAATAGGTATTTATGTGAACTTAGGTAAAGGATGCTAGGTCTGAAGGTGTGTCCCTGTCTTGCCTGATGACAGTACCTACTGATATCATTTTTAATGACATCTTCTCTGAACTCCTGAAATGAACCAACTTAAGAGATACTCACTGAAGCTGTGAGAACACAGACATCAAGAGCTAAATGGATCATCAGGCTGTAATGGCATATGCCTGTGTTCTACAGCTCATTTAAAAAAAATAAAATAAAATAAAAAGAGGGCTGCTGAGATGGCTTAGTGGTTAAGAGCATTGGCTGCTCTTTCGGAAAACACAGGTTTGGTACCAGCATCCACATTGGCCGTTCACAACCATCTATGACTCTAGTTCCAGGTGATCTAATGCCCTCTCATGGCTTCTGTAGGCATCATGTATGCATGTACTACACAAGCACACATACAGGCAAAGTTCTCACACACGTGAAAATAGAGTGAGCTCAGAATGTGGTCAGAGAACCCCGATATGTATTTCTCCAAAGAATGTATACAAAGAGCAACAAGCATATGAAACACTCTCAGATTTCCA